TGTAAATTTTCACCCACAGTACATGAATTAGCTCCTGGTGAAGAGAATACCTGTTCTGAAAGTAGTGCGGTTCCCCCACTAGGGTGCCAATTTTCTATTGACACACCTATAACCTATGCAGATGCCTTCTGTATAGATAATGCTCTCACTGGCCCCCTCCACCTTCTAAATGTGGAATTCTAGCTGTAGTTTGAGAGGAGGTAAGTATGTTTGGAAGTTAACATTTTCTTAAATCAAAAATGTATGTCACGCCCTTCCTCCCCACTAAGAGCCAGTGTTAGAGACTGTGGATTGGGTCAGTCTCAAAAAAGTGATAACATCATCTGAATCAGGTGCTTATGTATAGTACCAAGATAGAGGGTGCATCAATGTAGGTGGAGAGTATCACCAAACAAATATCACCAAGGGCAATTAAGTGAGGTATAAAAGACTGTAGCAAACAAGAAAAAATCAGACCAATGCTTAGATGGGCAAAGGAAGAAAACCTGGCAGTTGAGTAATTGCTGTAGTGTGAAAGTGGTAAATATTATTGGAAATACATTTTCAATTTAAGAAAATGTTAACCTCCATGCAGATGAAGCACAGAAAAAAAAACTACTTCATATTGTTAAAATGCTTAAAAAATACACCAAAAAACAAAACAAAAACAATTCATAAACAGCTAGATGAAGCACAAAGAAAAATCTATACAGTAAAACATTAATTTGGGAACATGTAGATGAAGAACAGAGAGAAACTAGTTCATGAAGATGAAACTTGGAAAGAAACTACATGGGTAAGTGAAGTGCAAAAGGAATTACTTTGTACATTGTGTAGTTAAAGCCTAAAAAAAGGACTTCAGAAAATAAAACTAATTTCTAAAAATGTGATAAGCCCAGACAGAAACCACTTTATGTAAGTAAAATAAACTATATATAAAAGACTACTTGGAGAAAGTCCAAAATAAAATGCACGTTGTACAGATGAAGACAAAGAAAAAACAAAAAGTTATATGTAAATTATGTCCAGAATAAAACTGCTTCTTTTGAAATCATAATGAAATTGCTTAATCTAAGAAAGTACAAAAATAATCAGTTTTATGTAAATCAAATTAAGAAGGATGTACCATGTGCTACTTTATTAGAAGCTTCATAGTTTCGTCTTATAACATATTGTTCCCCAAACAATTATATTTTCATTGAACACTTGTAGTCTGTTCTCATTATAATGGTATAAAACTTGTTAATATATGCATTATGTTTTTCCTTTTTTATTTGTTGTTTCTACTTATTATAATGGTATAAAAACTAACATGTTTGTGAATATATTTCCAAACAAAAATAGGTAGTTGTTGGTCAATCTAATAAATTTTGGGCTACTTAAAGTGACAAAAAATCAGGTGTTATTGAAATATCTGTTAAAAACAATTCTCGAATATTCCAGGCTAGGAAATTAGCATATTTTTTGTTCTATAACTTTAAAATCCTTAAAAGTCACTTTTTCTTTGTTGTATTAGATTACAAAATGTCTAAAAACAAATCTCTGTATGTAGAAAACATTTTTTTAGTGTTGCTTAATTTTCTTTTGCAATAAAATATAATGTTGTGATACATTACCAGTAACAGTGTGTACATTCTTAGTTTTCAGTCATTTTGTGTTGTTATTTTCTATTATACTGTATATTTATCCATGGCTTGTTTACTTTATAGCTTTTAGTCTTGGAAAGGGTGCACTTGCAGGAGCTTCTGTAATGGGACTAGGAGCCTTATGTTACTATGGTCTGGGCCTTTCAAACCAGCCTGGAGCACTGGAAAACTCAATGTAAGCCACAATAATTTTCAATATGTTTGGCTTTGTTTTTCAAATATTATTTTCCTGCCCCTACTACAATTTGTAATAATTTTCTTTTGGTTTAGTCAAAGAAATGAAACTTTTTTTCTCTCTCTTTTTTTCCTCAATCAGCACTTTCCACTTTATTATTACGTATACCTCTTTATTAGAATTATTACATGTGACAGATAATACTGAGAATTGTTACACAGGATATGGATAACACTGAGAATTATTACATAGGATGCTGATAATGCTATATGAATTATTACACAGAATATGGATAACACTTTATGAGAATTATCACACAGGATGTGGTTAATGCTATAAGAATTATTTCCTAGGATGTGGATAACACTTATCAGTATTATTACACAGGTTCTGGATAACAGTATAAGAATTATTACAAAGTAAGACTTTGTACTTTCCAAGCTGAGCTGAGAATACTTCTAAGTATGATGTGAACTGTTTGTGAGGTTTGCCTGATGTGCTCATTTTTGTGGAGTTCTTTGTTGTGTAAGCTACATACAGATGTCTTGTTTCAAGTTAAGCCTTGAGAGAGAGATGAGGAATAACAGTTTGTAATTTTATTAGCATGCTGTTTCATCTACTTTAGATAGTATTTTGTTTTGTATTGTAACTGTTAGCATGGAAAGGAAGTAATGTACAGGAATTGTAGTTGCATATAGAGTTATGTTTTTCATTGAATATCACATTTACCAAACACCATCAAAATGTTGTCAGTTAATCATATTCTAAGTATGTCTGTTTGATACCTAATTAACACTTTTAAAGCTTAAATATCATTTGGGTGTATGAAAGATATGCTGTCGTCCACTCATAACTTTCCTAAATCCATGTATTAAATATCCTGATGGTGTTTCAAAGGCAGAAATAAAGTTATAATCACTTTCAACTAGGACTGCCAAAGACCTGTCAATTTGACTGCTGTTTACAATATTCATTACAACATACAATTTTTTAATTTTTTTTTTGTATTTAGCAGCTTGCAGTTTCAGTATAGATGCCTCTTGTTATTTCCATCTCCAACTGAGCTCCCAGCTCTTTGATTAAATTTTGGCCCTTGAAGTCTCGGAGAACAGGTGTGGGTTTGTCAGCTGATGTGAATGAATTTCAGCATAATCTTCTTAAAATCTTGGCAAACCTCATGAGAAGTGGTGTCTCCTTGTCTGTTGATTTGAGTGTGTCATAACATAGCCTATTTATAATTCCTTCAATTCCTGTGAGAAGTGGTGTCTGCCCATCTGTCAATTTAAGTATATATAGTAAAAGCGAAACTGACAGAGACTCAAAAACTCAAAAATGGCTCAGAGAAGACATATATCTGTTCAACAAGTGATAGAGTAGCTCACAACTGAGAAAATGATTCTGATGCAGGGAATGTGAGCGATTGTTAAAGTGATGAGTTCTGGATTTGTGAAACACAGTCCTGAAGTAAAAATGTCACTACCACCAAAACAATTCTCCATATCCAGAAGATGTCGTAGCAGAAACAGCAGTTCTGGACAATTCTCTGCAGTGTCAACTGCTTTACCTGTATCATCTCCTGCTGCAGTTGCTTCAGCTGTGCCAGCCACTTTTCTTAATACAGTTACAACCACAACATCTCCAACTGCATCACTAGTGTGAACTGGAATAGGCATATAGGAGATTGGGAAGGATGGAACAGTTTAAGAAATTACGAAACCCACTGTTGAGGCTGCAAAGAGATGGGCAGCACAAAATGGTTTGAGAGAAACTTCAGGTCCCACACAGTGCACATCATTTATAGTCCTCTCAGTGATTTTCAATTATTGAATGATATGAGAATGCTACACCACATTCAGTGATGTGCTAAAGTAGAGGTGCATAGGTGCAGAATGATGATTCCTGGAAAATGTCTCTGAAGGAATTACAAGCAGTTATTGCACCACTATATGTTCATGGGGCCTATGGTGGCAAAAGCATTTACCTGGAGAGCTTTTAATGTGTGCAATGGGAATTTTTTTTTTTACAGAGACAATGCCAAGGAATTGATTTTGAGAAATCTTGAGATTTTTGCATTTTGACTCGAGAGCAATGAAAAGTGCTTAACTTCAAACAGACAAATTTGCCTTGACATTGGAAATGTGAAATGGCTTCATTGAAAAAAGCTTTGTCTGCTACAAGCTGGGAGAGACCATTACTGAGGATGAGCAGCTGTTTCCCACAAAAGCACTATGTTCCTAGACACAATACACGGAAACAAACAATAAAGTTTTGACTAGCAGTAGACATTGCCTCAAAATATGTTCTGAATGCTTTTCTCTACCTGGGCAAAGATGAATCTTGCCCAGCTGGTCAGAGACTGGCAGACAATGTAATACTCAGTCTGTAATTAGGAAAAGTGATGAATGTGACCACAGACAGTTTTTTGCTTCACTTGAATTGGCAAAAGAGTTGCAGAAAAAAACTCAGCCTATTTGGAATAGTGAACAAATCCAGAACCAGAGCTGTACACCAGTACAGGCACAGTGATTTTACTACATTGACTATTTACAAGTGCAAGCTGAGGAAGAATGTTTGAATTCTCAGCTCTCTTCACATGTCCGACTGTTCTTTTCAACAACCCAAGTACGGAGTGGATGTTGCAAACCAGGTGGCACATTAGTATTCAGTAAAAGCTGGTTCTTGTCTGTGTCCAGTTGTGTTTTACAATTTTGTGGACTTCAAGGCTATCAATTTCTTTGTTTTGTACAAAGAATGCACAGAATAAGATATCAGTAGGAGGAATTTTATCTTGACACGAGCCTCAGACCTCCAATAAAAACACTTTTGATAATCCTGTAAAGCACAGAACATCTGAGCATGAATTTAGTGAAACACATAAAAGAAAACAATGCCAGGTAGCTAAATGCAATAAAAACAGAACTTCAGATAAATGTGCCAAATGTGAAAGACGTGTGTGGTAAATGCTCAGCAAAAGCTGAAAAGCATTTCACATAGGTGGATTGTGCCATTTAAGCTAGTTCATAATGGGAGTTGCATAATTTTTAAGTTATTGAAGTATTTTTTTGTGGACAATTATTCATTTGAATGTGGTGTTTTGGCTGTAATTACATTTAATTTGGTGTTCCAAAATGTAACATTTTAGTTCTATCCATTAATTTGTCTTTCATTTTAAAACTGACATTTTAATATGTAACAGCCAAAATGGTGATCACCTACTGAGAAAATTTTGAAAGTCTCAATATATAAAGAAATAAAAAATCTGTGATCAGAATGAAATATGCCAGGAAATATTTAAGTAGATTCTTGTTTTATTCTTGACTGAACAAATTAAAAAAATTACTCCGATTACTTTTTTCTCTGTAGAATGTATTTGGTATTTAATATATATTATGTACAGTATAATTACACCTTCTAGTAGAGTTTTACTTTAAAAGTGATTTTTTTAAGTTTATAACAATACTGTTATTCAAATCATAACATGTTTTGTTATACAGTACATGGCCCCAATATGTCAAGCAAAGAATTCAAGACACATATTTTTATTTTGGAGGGAGCATTGCAGTGACAGCGGCCTCCACTGTAGCTGTATTTCGCACACCGACTCTAATGAACTTGATGATGAAGAATTCGTGGCTGGTATAGTAAAATAATATTTTAACTAAATCTGTGGTAGATAAAACAAATTTAATTGTTTGAAAGGTAATGTGTTAGTTCCTAATTTGATAAAAATAACCATCAACTTTAAAGGTGGTTAGTGTTATTTCCTCCCTTGGAAGGTGCAATGTATATTTACTGTTAGAACAAAAGTTTGTTTTCAAATTCTTAAATGTCATTGCAGAAGTACCAGTATCTAAACTGTGGGATTTACATTTGTGTTTAACAATCCATTTTTTTAAATATGCTGATGTGTTCAAAATGCATGCTAAAGTGTACACTATATTAAAATCAATTTCAGAAGTAAATTCAAAATTATTTTTCTTGAGTTTTATGAAAACATAATGTAAATACAAGCAGAAAACCAAAATCAAATCACATGCTAGTTAAAATAACAAACATATAGATTATTTATGTAAAGTACCTGTGTTTTATTATTAGGTACTCAAATTCTAACTGAATTACATGCACACACACACACACACACACACCAGGTTTTTCATCTGTCTGAAGTAGTAACCATATGAGTAAGTTGTACAAATTATCAGTGTTAAAGGATCATTATAAAATCTGTAAGTGTAACATAGTGTGCTGGCTGGCTCTTTAGTTGAACTCTGAATTTTGGACCTTGTAAGCTGGGTTTGAATCCATATGATACTGCAGAGTATTCCTTGCACTTTAAACTCTCTCACCATAGGCATAATGTTTTGTACGTCTCATGAAGTTTTAGCGAATTACATTCAAAATTTAATTATACTACTTTTGTATCATAGTATACAAATAAATGGTGCAAAAAAATGTAGCTAATAATCCAGATTTTAGTAATATATAAGTTTTACATTCTTAATTTTATAAGGCAATATTTTAAAAAATCCTGAATTTACCCTAGTATGAGAATTGTAACATTTTCTCTCTAGGCATTCCCTCATCTCTAATCTATTTACCACCCCTCCAAGAAGTATGAAATTTAATGTACATTCCTCATTATAATGTTGTCATGACTCGGGCAAAGCATAATTTTTACAGTCTCTAATCTTATTTAGTAACAGAGCCATAAAATACACAATCAGACTTCTCTTGCTAAGCCCACCTGCCACATCTTTTCTTTCAGAAATTGCCAATAGTTCTCTCTGACATTTAATACTGTATTATCTATAACCAACAGAACGTCAAGGTTTTAATCTATCAAATGATGTATTATATTATGTTGTTTTTCTGTACAGAGACTTGTCTATTTCTCTTCCAGTTTTAATTTTATTCCTTTGGGAATGACATCAACCAGCTTAGCTGAATTTTTAACAGTACTTGTTGCATAGTTAGAAAGCCAAACAAACTTGATTGTTATGGGATATTGTCTGATTTTTGCATATTATTATTTTCTGTTCTCTGATGCATTATTTAATATAGTAAAAACATAGTTAGTTTAGTAGTGTGAAAATGTAGGGATAAGTATTGTTGACAGCAAAAAAAGAACCAAGTAAGCACTTTATTTCTTGTTTTTTATGTATTCTTTATTTACTATTATAAACGTAACTAAAATGTAAAAATTAAAAACTTTAAAAAAAAGAAGAATAATAATAAATGTTCACGAAGTATGTTTGGGAGCAGTTTGAAAGTAGCCTAGGCATTATGTAATTTGATAGGGTAACTATAAGCTTTACATTTGCAAAGTTATTTACAGATTTTATGGCAAGAATGTTAAACGCAGTTCAAAGGGCATTAATGTTACAAATGACTATTAGTGAAAGCTTGCTAAGATTCATGAAGATATACAAAATGTTAGATGTTATGGTATGGAAACTATAAAGGTCAATTTGGGGTCACAAACTCAGTCCAAATGACTGAGCTCAAAGCTAGAGAGCTAAGCTTGTGAGTGCATTATATTAGTGAAGTCAATCACTTATTGTGGGTGAGAGGTTGCTGCTGACTGTTCAGTAGTTCAAAAGTAGGGGCTGTGGCAGAAAGTCTTTGTAGCTTTGTTATAAATACAAAAGACAAATAAAAAAATATATACCTAAAATAAAGAATAAAATAACTATAAAAGTATTTATGTATAACTAAGTAGAAAAATTATAAATCATTTACTTATCAAGGTATGCCATTATTGTAGCACTTAATAATTTATATATGTATGCTTTTTAGATCATTATAAAAATTGATAGTTTATAACTGTTGATAATTGATATATTCCTTTGTAGATTATTCTAATTGCTTAAAATGGATATATTCTTTTGTAGGTTATTCTAATGGATATATATATATATATTCTTTTCTAGGTTATTCTAATGAATAATAATGGACATATTATTTTTTAGGTTATCTTAACAGTTGATAATTGCAGTAGTTATTTTTAAAATATTATAATAGTTTGTGATTGGTATATTCCTTTTTAGATTTTTCTAACAATTAATTATTGATAAATTTCTTTCTTCTCTTCTTGGATTGAGGTATGACATTATTCTAGTGCTTGATAATTTCAGCTGTTTAATAAGAGTTTATTTCCTTTTGAGCAGTTAAATGCAAGTTTGGGTATCTGATATGATTTTGACTGATAATTGTTAACTTCATCTTCATCTGCCATGATTTATCTCTGAAACCATTTGCTAACATTGTAATTAGCTAATTAAATTAGATTATTTTTTTAATACTAATATCTCTCACTTGAAACAACTTAAAATTAAAACAAAAAGTACTAAAGACATTTATCTTGCAAACCCATGATTACTGGTTAATATTATTATTGCAATCTCTGTTATTTAATTTTTTGAGAAAGAATGTTGAAAACAAGATGTTAAATAGTTTTTCAACTTTTTTTTCACACCTAGGCTATTGGTGCAACTTTAGCTGCTATGATTGGAAGTGGAATGATTGTACGATCAATGCCATACTCCGAGAAGTTTGGAGCCAAACATGTTGCCTGGATGGTTCACAGTGGAATAATGGGAGCTGTTGTAGCTCCTTTGTGTTTACTTGGTGGCCCTATCTTGTTACGAGCAGCTTGGTTAACTGCAGGAGTTGTAAGTGGTAGGTGGATTGTGTTTTAATTAAACTCTGTAGTAGAATTCTTGTGGGTTGAATGTTCTAAAAGAAATGTGGGTAAAAGATAGATTCATTAAATACCTTCTCTGGTTTTAGCATTTGAAGTTCATAGTTAAGTTGATTTAAAATAAATCATTTTTGTAATCTAACAAGAAGTTGGTTTGACTTGAGAGAAATTGAGTTATGTTGTTTCACAAATTATTGTGGTTGTAATTACGTCTTTCATGCATACAAAAGGAATAAAATGTATTTCCAAACAAGTTTTAATACTAAAGTTTAAACATAGTAAATAAAAAAGGTATAATTTTATAGCAACATACATGACAAAGATTAACAACATGAAAGTAAATTACATTTGCATGTATTGTTTTTTTCTATTTCTTCAATGAGATAGGAGCAAAATATTAATATTGTTAGGTTTGTAATGTATAAAAATGATGAAGTATATCATGTTAAGTCATTAATATACACAAATGATGAAATGTATCATGCTTTTTGTACATAACTAAACTGTTTTACATGTTTATAAGCATGTTTATGAAAATTTAAGGAAACATAGTAAAACAAATTAGTGTGCATAAACAATAGGTCCCTTGTTGTCCGTAAACATTGTTATGTAGTGCTGTTATGTAGAGCTAGTTGATATAATCATATGTGGGTCTTAGTTTCAATTCCAACTACACTTAATCAGAGGACAAAATATTTGGATTCGCATTGCAATTTGCAAATCTAAACAACCCCAGTTGCAAGTAACTTTCCTCATAATGTGCAACTCATTCCTTTCTCTTGTATGCTGTCTTCGAGACCTTCCACAACACAGTGAGAGTAACATTTCAGTTTGATATACGAAAGCCAATGCTGATATTCAATTCCCAGAAATTCCTGCCAAGTGTCGCATACAGTACTTTTGCATTTTGTAATGCACATATTTTATACACATACACTTAGCAGTCTGTTCATGTTGTTGGGAATGCATCAGATTAGTCCCTGCAGCTTAGTCAACTAGAATAGAATATATACGTCTAGTACATTTAGCATTGAGCTGGTTACAAACTCTCTCAATACAGGCTCAGTCCCATGGACTGACCACATGACCTTTTTTACATGTATATAGTTTTAATACCATAACTTTTAACACAGTATTTGTATCTTCACAAAATTTGGCAGACTTTTAGTAAACATCTTTTACCGATTATGTGACAAGTGGGTATGGCAAGAGGGGTCTGATTTTCTATTTGATGGCTCTATAACCAAACAAAATTGAAGACTATGAAAGTTATGCTTTGTCTTAGAGATGACAACATTATGATGAGTAATTTATGTTAAGTTTCGTACTTATTGAAGGGGTGGTAAATAGATTATAGAAGAGGGGGATACCTAGTGAAAAAATGTCATTTCTCACACTAGAGAAAATTTGGGATTTTTTAAAAATACTGTCTTATAAAATTAAAACCTAAAATTTATATACTCTTAAAATATGAATTATAAGCTACCATTTTATGCTATACTAATTGATATAACTTGAACAAAAAGTAGCTTAATTGAATTTTGAATGTAATTCACTAAAACTAAGACCACGTTGTGAAGAGTGATGAAATAGATGTTTAGTCTTTGTTTAGTCAGTTGTTGCATTCTTTTGTGACAGTCGAGGTGTTTGGTATTTTTTTTTGAAGTTTTACTTTATATACCAGGAACTATTTTGTTCATGAAATGCCATGTATGGTACAATTAAATATTGGGTTTGAAGCTGAATAAAAGCGTTATTAAAATATAAATATACTATTTACTTGTTTTCATTAGTGTATGTCTTTACAAATAGATAAGACTTTTAGTGCTAGATTTAGTTCTCATAATGTGTTAAAATGATGAATGGTAAAAAGATGCTAAGTAATATTTACTAACTGCTAATCAAATTCAGTGTTGATTAGCAATTTTACTAATCAAATCCACCAAACTGTTTTGTCCCCTGCTTAATTACCCTGTCTTTGCTTATGTGAAGCTACTAAAGCTAATTTCCATTGTCACTAACATTGAACTACTGACTACAGGGAAGGCAATTGTGGTAAATAAAGTGTAAACTTACTGGTTTTTTTAAACATTGTTTTTATGTTTCTAATTTATAGTTGCATACCTTTATTTTTAATGTTGTATAATCTAGTGCAGTTCTAGGGGAGTGGGAACCTCTCATCCATTTTTTGTTTTTCAGAAAATAATAACTGTATTCTTTAATATTGTATAATCAAACAAGGAACTTGGGAAGGAGTCAAGGTAACCATACCCTTGTAGCCCACCCTTCCATTTTTTCTGAAACTAAGAACTGTATTATTTAATGTTGTGTAAGTAGATGCAAATCTATCTCTCTTCCCCCCTCTCCTTCTCCATTTATTATTTCAAAAGTTAGTATAAAAACAACCAGATCAAATAATTTTATTTTATCAAAACGTGGTTGTAAAGTAAATGAATCAGCGTGAGTGCACTTTTACAAAAGGAACAGAGGATCTTCAAAAGAAAGAAGACCAAACAATTACAGTAACTCGAGCCACAATTATAAGTGAATCACAGAGAATACTAGTGCGATAGAAATAGAGAAGATAGTTCTCTTGTCAACTGAAATTCTAAAGTAATTGAATATGCCTAAGTAGATATTTGACAAGAAGGAGAGAACTACATATATAGTATTTATAATATGTCCACAATATCTATAGTGTTGAAGAATTTATTGTACATACATTAACTTGTTTTTTAATATATATATATTATTCTGAAAACAAGTGAAGTGCGTGCTGTTTATTCATTGCTGAAATTATCACTAACAAGTCTTGGACACCTACTGTAGAAGAATCCTAAGCCCAACAACAACATAGTATAAACATACATAACTAAAAGCCTTTCTATTTGACAACTGGCAAAAAGGAAAAGTTGTGTGTGTATATAAATATATATGTTTGAAAATTTTCCGATGCATAAAAGTATTTTAAGTCTGTCAGAATTTAAAATACTGACAGATTTAAAATACTTTTATGCATCAGAAAATTTTCAAATTTCACATGCGAAATCTTTATAATGTCCATATAGTTATCAAATGTTTCTTAAGAAAAACTAACGAATTTCTGTATGAGTTTGGTCGATTTGACTGATCTCGTAACCACCGTAAAAAATTAGGAAATATAAAATATGCCTTTTTTTGTTTTAGAATGACTACAAATTATAACATAAAAACATGAATGTTTAGACTAAATAGCTTAAATTTCATAACATTATACATTTATATATATATTTATTATTTTTATTATAGTGACTTTCGTCGGCCATGTCTGGCTAACAAAGAAGTCACAATAACACACCGCACGTGCACTCGTGTTACCGTATCCATTAATATAAAACTGACCTTTAGTCTTTTAAAAGTGACCTGTGTTTTAGTGGACCAGTATTTTGTAAAATAGTCATATTTCAATTATTATACATTATATATGTATATAGATTATTACTGTTTACAAATAAGTGCTTAAACTTATAAAGAACAGTAAATAAAGAAGTAAAGCAAACAATTATTTTTTCTAGTTATGACCTTTGTACTTGATTGCTGCTTGTTGTACGTTGCTAAGCTTTTTAAAATTATGCAGATGGAGAATGTGAAACATTTTTTTTTTTTTTTTTTTTTTTTTTTTTTTTTATTTGAAATAACCAAAAAAATCATAAATTACTATATCAATGCCATAGAATTCCACTATAAATTATCAAGTTTAGTAACTGTATTTCGGTCTAAAAAAAATATGAAATTTCAAGCAGACTAATGACCCAACCTACTTTCTTGAAGTCATGTTTCGAAAGAAGGAAATGACATCATAACACTTGAAAATGGCTGAGAAATCCACTAGGGTGAAATTTTGAGCTTTCGAATGGCTATTCACATGTCGTAGACAGAAGTAAGTGTACATAAGCATGTCTTTCCAAAAATGAAAAGAGTTGGGTGGGGCCACTGTGTTTGTTGAATACATATAGCGATGTCTCAGCAAATAGAAAATATTGGAGGTTCTTATTTTGTATTCTAGCTTGTCAATATCAGTAATTTGAGCTCCTAATTCGTACAAAACTATAGACTTTGTATTTTGACATCATAAACATCTAATTTGAACCAGTGCTTTATTAAACATACCACGTGAGACACAAAAAATGATGTTTAGGTGCATTTTTTTTAATATTTACTTTTAAGTTAAGAAATTGAATAATGTATAATACTAAAACTTGAATTATAATATACAGTTTGATACCAAACTTATTGACATAAGTTCATAAAATAATTTTTCAATAAATTTTGAATGCAAATCAACAAATGTGATGACATTGCCTTTGACCTGTGACCTGTCTGGAAAGGGTTAAGCCCTCAGCCAATAATTGATTATTTCTAAGCTAATACAATTATATACATGTCAGTTAAACATGCCATGATAACTCTTTCCTGCCTTGGCTATTTTCAGACATTATCAATATGTCTAGATTTATTTTCATCAAAATTAGTGTTGTTTAGGACATTTACAGCCCTTTACATCATAGACTTGTTACAGAATTGATACTTTTATTGTTTAGAAGTTAGAATTGTTATGAGAACAGTCATCCTGTTTACTAGTACATTTTTTTCTCTAAATATGATTATAAATAATTAAAACTATTTAATTTTAATTTAAATTAAAATGTATGTTTTTAATTGTTATTTTTGTATTAATCACATTACTAAAAATAAAGATATAAACTTTGAAGTTACTAAATGAATAACATGAATGAGTTAATCATTTACAGGATATATTCATGTTATTTTAACTATGTTTGATTTAGGTTACAGTTAATATGAAATGTATGGTCTACATTGATTGATCCAAGATACTTTATAGGGGAAGTATTTTCATCTAAAGATATTAAGAGATTTGGTTGTAGTGTTACACAGCTATCAACCAGAAAGTTAGTTTATATGTATCATACCATCATTCTGTGGAAAAGTTAAATGTTACTTTATAACATGATAATGCTATATTATCTGATGTGTTTGCCTGATGAATAAAATGAGTTATGATTATTTATTTCCTTTATTTGGCTACAATCTGAAGAATTTTGTAACTATTGTAATACTTTGCCTTGGGCCTTTCTGCTCCTAGTTACATCACTGTTGATAAATGAATAAATCTTTCATTGTTGCTAAATGTTGAAGAATGCAGTTGCACAGGATGTATGATATATTTTCACGTACAAAGTTTGGGAGAGGTCCATGGACTGACCCATGTTAGAGAAATATTGTTAACTATAATTCTGAAATTATGAAGTGTATTCAGGAAATATAACAAGCTTTTAGTCAAAAGTGCAAGTCCCTTGTGCACACAAAAAAATCGAATGTTGTACTAAATTTTTTATACAAAAAATATGTATGTGAAAATCAGTCTGAAAAGTCTGAGTGCAAAGAGATCTTCTTGTGAACAATGAAAGTACCTTCATCCATTGTACAGTTGACAAATTGTGTGTGCATAACCTCTATAGCCTCCTAAATGTGTATCTAAAGTTTTTTCAGTATATCTGTACATTCTAGCTGGTATTTTTTCTAACATGAATAGTCGTGAAATCAGGAATGTAGGATAATAAAAAAGTTGATAATGCTGACTACAAATTCATAATACCATGTTGATAGGCTATATGTATAAGGTTGGCATGCACATTTTGACCCCCCCCCCCCAATGCTCATACAACTAATGATTCCATTGATTAATTCATTAGGAAATACCCCTAATTTGCCAAGTTTTAAACCAGAGAAAACATAACAGCGTTACTTATGTACACTAATTTGTTACATTGTTTCTTGTATATAACAAAGTAAATGTAACAGCATTGATTGTAAACTACTAGTTAGTGTCATAAAGCCTCTCTGATATTTTTCTAGTATGTATTGAAATACCAACTGTTTTAAAATTGAAACAAGTTTTGTTGATTTTATTATATTGTTTAATTATTGTAAGATTAAAATGTTTGATCATCTTTCCAAATTTTTATTGAAGTAAACAAACTTATTATTATTGATCAACTAATATCCAGTTATAAAAATTAGGTACTTTTCTGTTAAAACCCTGCAACTGTTATTGTTAAGCCTAATGTTTAGAAACCAATTTTGTTTATTGCTAGTTTATCTTCACACTAAAGTAAATCATAAAACAGGAGAAATACATTGTTTTATTAAATATGTACAATCTAAAAACTAGTTTATTCTATATTCTTGTTTTAAGGATTAACTTATTTACTTGGACTTAGATCCATTAATTTCAATTCAGCCTATAGTTTTAGGTAAGTTATAATATATATCGGGCTAATTACGTTGTATTATTAATATTATCTATTGATCAAAAACTAGTTACTGCCACTTCTAATAAAGTTCTCTTTTTAAGTTCTATATAATTAAGGATATACTTTATTACTTTAGTGTGGAGACAAAGTAGTGCTAAAAAAATAATTATATAATTAGTTCTTAAACATTAGGCTTAACAGTATCAGTTGTGGAGGTATAATGGAAAAGTACCAAAAATTGTCCAGTAGAAGTTAGAAACACATGCAAAACCAGTAGTTATGGTGATTTTTTTTTTCGTCCTTTGCAGGACTGTCAGCTGTAGCAGTATGTGCACCAAGTGAAAAGTTTTTAACCATGGGAGGTCCATTGGCTATTGGTTTGGGGGTTGTATTTGCATCCTCTGTTGGTGGGTATACTTAGGGAGTTTTAAAGATACATTGTGTAACAGGCTAAATTAACCAATATTTATAAGTTGGAAAGGTGAATAGTTTTTGTAATACTTTTGTTTTAAGTGCATTTTTGGAAAGTTCAAAAGTACATTACATTTTGTAGTCATGGAATATGTTGTTTTCATCATCTTGCTATGGTATGAAATGTTCAGTTGCCAGTACTTCCAATGTCAAAGGTAACATTTTTGTTCAAAAAAAATTAATGAGGTAAATTATTTTTCATGGCTACACTTATGTTTTATGTAGAAAAAGCTTGTTAGAAAGCTAGTAATAATTATTCTATATAAAATTATCAACTACATATTATGAAATGAAATAAAAAAAATATTTATGTTGAGTACAATGTGATATTTCATATTCTAATGTTGTAAAGGGTTATTTTTTTAAAATGTTTTTATATACTTGCCTGGATACAAGAAAAAGATAAAGAAGATAAAACATGTTTGAATATACAATTAATTTTAAATCCACACTAATGGAACAATACCAAATTTAAATGGGAACTAGTTTAGACATTTCACATAACCTCTTCAGTCTAATGTTTGTGGGAATTGGTCAAGTTAATAAATAAGACAACAAATTAAGTCAAAAGAAGAATTCTTGAAAGTTTGTTAATCCAAAGATGACCAAGCTTCAACACATCTGAAGATCACTTTGAGTTGGATCCCATTCTAACATCAAAGAATTGGAACTTCAGTTATAAAATAAGCAGTTGTTTTTCTCGCACAAACAGATGTTGAACTGAAGAGGACGTGAAAAGTCTAAACTAGTTTCCATTTAAATTTGGTATTGTTCCGTTAGGGTGGGTTTAAATTATATTGTAAATTACTTTACACAGTATTATGTATTTACTTCTTTTTTGTGTTTGACAACCTTCTGCTTGTATTTCATACTTCTGTTTCAATTTTTTCAACATATTCAATGTGAACTGCAAAAGATACTAAAGTGAGTCACCTCACAGGCTTTTATCTTACTTTTACTGCTAGAAACATTTTACCTCAAGTGTGGTAGAAAAAATTCCATTACCAGAAAGGATTCCGAAGTGACAAAGTGATACTTAGTACTACTTTTAATTTTTTCTCCTCTATTCTGTGTATTATCACAATTTTAGCTAATTACAACTCTGCTGACTTCTAAAACTTGGTCACTAATTGGACATAAATTCTTTAAATCGTTAAGTGGTCTAGATGTTTCATTATTATTCTACCAAATAGTTTTCAAAAGAACCTGCTCAACGGCAGAAACCATTACAACTGACATCAGGAACGGGATGATTTTGGTAAAAGAAAACCGAGAATCCACTTCAAGTTGACAACACATGCCTGAGCCAAGATAGGAAATTGTAATGATAAAGAAGTGGGAAGAAGAACAAGCAATTAGAAATTTAAATGAATCTTAAGAAGAAAAGCATCACCACTAGGATAAAAACATTTGAAAAATGGAAATACAAAGATTAAACCAGTCAAACACATCTGGTTGCTGTGTCACTCATGACTGTATGACCTTTCTGTACTACTTCAACTATACCACTACCTCATTAATTTTCAGAACATGTTGGCCAGTTCAACAACATCTCTAAACAGACTATGATAAAAAGGTGACATTAAGCAGTGTGACAAAAGTGAATGTAATTAATGATGATCTGATAAACAGCTAGCTATTCATTGGACTGTTTATTTAAAGGAACAGCTTTAACAAAATTAAGCTATAATAACTAAGGAATTAGTGGCCATGTTATCATATAGATTGGAATATTACATCATAACAGTTTCAAAAGCAAAGTTCAGGAGCAGAGTAAGAAGACAAAATGTAAAGCTAATCTTATTGAAGATGTAGGAGAACTTGGCCAGTTAGTTATCAATATGTTTCATTTGAAATGGTGGAATTCTTGACATGCAACCAATTCTTAGATGCCTCAGTGGTTGAGGTCTTGTGAATTAGATAAAAACAAAGCAAGAGTACATCTTTAAGGGAAGCTATTAATTGTGATGGAACTAAAATAAATTAAACTTGTAGATAATGAACTAAAGATGCCATTCTGGGATTCTCAGATCAACTCTATCCTCAAACAGTTAATTATACAATTGTTTATTCAGAATGCAGGACAGAAAGTGTTTCAATTGCATCTCAAACAGGAATATTTCCATGAAATGTAGATTGAGTGAAATTTACTTATTCCGTAACTTATTGTAATAGACCTATCTTTTTTTCTGTAAATGTGTGTGTGTGAATGTATGTATGGCTCATTTTATGCTGTTTCCTAAAATTTGGGGAATGTTCCACACATTAAAGCCATGTTAAATTAAGCTTCCTTTCAGCCAAAGAAGAAGATAAATTTCTCTAAAGCTCTAGACATAAGCTTCAGTGTTACTTTCAAAAGTTGAATATCTATTTTGAAACAGCAAGAAGTGTTTCTCTAAACATTCCTGGTAATCCTGAAAAGAGCAAAACTGTCATGAATATTTTGAAATTGGTTTAATTAACTGAAATAATACATCAATATTTGTTTTAAAAGTTACATGTTTTAATTTTTAGGATCTATGTTTCTTCCTCCTACTACTGCTCTGGGTGCTGGACTTTATTCAATCAGTTTGTATGGAGGTTTGATTTTGTTCAGCTTTTTCCTCCTGTATGACACTCAAAGAATAATTCATTCTGCAGAAACTTATCCCCTCTATGCTATGAAACCTTATGATCCAATCAATGCGTAAGTTTATATTTAAAAAGCTTTATGATTTTGTTTCCAATTTGTAATTTTTACAAACCATAGAATCTAATTCTTTTCAGGTTTTTTTTATCTTAAATGTAATTATGTTTAATGTGACAACTAATGCTACTGCTTAAGTTTAGTTAAAGTAGGAGGCTTGTGCATTTTTCAATGTTTTTTTTTTTTTATGGAACACAGAGTTCACTTTTCCGTTTCACTTAAGTCTGTACTTTAAAATGCTCTTCAGAGCTGTGACCTTTGGTGCCATTTTAAAATTATTTTCTGCTTATGGTACTGCATTACATTCATAATTTAATTAAAGCACTTTATTATCAATATATGGAAATTAAATTAACAATATAACGTATCTTGTAATTTGAATTTTTATGTTATCAAAGTTTTAATTACTTTGTTTCAAGGGAAACCTTTCAAAAAAATACTTAAACTGCAGTTTTTGTGTCACATGATCCATGAGCTTTGAAAAATCTCGACTTTAGCTTTAGCACTGTTTCTCTCTCATAGACACATGTTTGGCCTAATTTTCACGTGAGATCTAAAGTCTGCAAACTGGGTTGTCTGGGAAACAGATATAAATTTTCCAACCCTTGATGGTTGCCATGCCCATCTTCTATACTTTGCCTTGAGATATACAACATATATATAGTTATTTGACATAAGTGTATATAGTTGTTAGATAGAGCTCAGTTTACATTATACCAATGGTCAATTTCATCCAAATTCATCCAAGCTTGTCGATATGCTTCCTGTGGGAAAAAAGCTTGTACTATCAGAGAAATTGACAATTCTCTGTTCAGAAAACAATGTAATATTATACGTCATTTCATAGACGAAACCCTGGCTTTCTGTTGGTTATAGATAATATAATATTAAATGTAAGAGAGAACTGTTAACAAATCCTGAGAGAGAGGAGATGACAGGTGAGTGTGGAAAGAGGGGTCTGATTTTCTATTTGATGGCTCTGTAACCAAACAAAATTGAAGGCTATAAAAATTATGCTTTATGTGACTGATGATGATATGATAGTGAGTAATTTACATTAAATTCCATACTTATTCGAGGGGTGGTGAATAAATTACAGAAGAGGGAATGCCTTGAGAAAAAATGTTACATTTCTCACACTAGGGGAAATTAAGGATTTTTCTTTTAATATTGCCTTATAAAATTAAGAACTTAAAATTTGTATACTATTAAAATATGGATTATTTGCTATGATTTTATGCTATACTAATTAGTATAAAATAAATAAAAGATAGTTTTAATTAAATTTTGAATGTAAGTAACTAAAAAGCCTTGTGGCATGCGCAGTAAATGTGCCCACATGGAGAGATTTAATATATGTTGTACCACCTCTAACAGATTTTGAACATTATGTTGACCAGATAAGCTTATGAACCTTAATATATGTTGTACCATACCTAACAGGTTTTAAATACTATGTTGACCAGGTATACTTATGAACCTTAATATATGTTGTACTACCTCTAACAGGTTTTAAACATTATGTTTATCAGGTAAGCTTATAAACCTTAATGTATGTTGTACTGCATCTAACAAGTTTTTATCATTATAGGGGTCTGATAACCTCAATGAATCTCTCACTGACTGATGCAGTTGTTATATATACAATTAAAGTTTTTTTTTTTTTTTTACCGGTGTATGTAATTTAGATTTTTATAGAAAACTAAAAATTTATTTTTAATGTTCTAGTAGTATTGTTGGAAGCAAGATAGTCAAATTACAGAAGATATGAAATAATGAATAGCATCTTTGGTAGGATGCAGTCAGTATTCTATTGAAAAAAACAACAATTTTATTTATCTGATGGCAAAACACAACTGAATAAATTAGTTTAAGCTGTATGTAATTTAAATGAATGAGCTAGTATAATTAGCCTGGTTCTCTCAGAAGATAAGCACTGGCATCAGTGACTACAGGTATATTTATCACTCCCTCTTTTCATATGGAGTTTTAATTGCTAACTTTATCAATAATAATGTTTTTATGGTTTGAGCACATTCAGTAGATTTGTATAAGTGGTGGTTACCACAAACTATCCTGAACTAATGTAATTTTCAAGTGTGTTTCCTGTAACTTTAAATTCCATATGTTCAGTAGTTGTCCCGTATTGTATGCTATCTATACGCTTAAGAAAGTGAAGTCACAGATGTGTTTATCTTAAAAACTTGGTTTTAAAAAATGCAAATTCTCTCTCTCCTCTAGGTCTATTTCAATTTATTTGGACACACTAAATATATTTATACGTATTGCTACAATTCTGGCAGGAGGAGGATCTCGAAGGAAATAAAGCCAACTAGTATGTGTTGTCGTGGCAGTCTCTGTGTATAAGAAAATGAATGAATGCTTTTCTTTCTGTATAACATCATGTTATACAGCATCTGCTGTAAAACTATATGAAGTAGCCCTATATTTTTAAAATTTTCAGTTAGAAAACAAATATAATGTAAGTTGTTTTATGGTTCAAAATAAATTATTTGAAATTCCCAAAGCTGTATTTTCAGATTTAATCAATTTTTTTATTACAAAACTAGGGCAGATAAGAATAACTTCTTCTCATCACTCTTGCTGCAAATAAACCACATAAAGATAAAATACGTTTGTTCTAGAAATGGCTAAAATTTTGTACTTCTTTTTTATATTGCTTCTAAGATCATCCCATTGAAATTGCTTCAGCTTTCTGGAGTAAATAAAGAAATCATACAAATCTTTATGAATATAATTCTTTTAAAAATCATGTTTTGTTCCAACAAAGTAACATTTCAACTGTCAACCTATGAGACCATTGTTTCTATGTGTATGACTGTGTTGTGACTTTTTTTTATATTGTTGGAAAATCTACTAGATGAAACTTTAGAACTGCTTTCTACAGATTATGTAAATAAAATACTTTTATGTGTGATAGTTGTATAAATTCAGTTCTTCAAAATCAGAAAATGTTTCATTGTGATATATTTTTAAGAAATAAATATAAATGCTTGCCTCTGTTGTAATTTTTAATTATTTATTTTCATGTTACCACTATTTTTTTAAATTTTCATTTAAAGTTTATATTTTATATTACTTCAATTGCAGTTTCACTGTGTATATGATCATTAGTATACAATAAAAAATACATTTTTACCATAGCTAAATTATAATCAAGCAAACTTTTTTAAGTTGTTTAGAAAATTTTATTTCATATAGGTAATAAGTTTTAAACCCATTTTATATTCATACATTCACAAGTACATACATATTTCAGCAAATTTCTTTGTCCATTCAAGCCATTACAGTAGACAAGTTCACCTAATGCAAGCAAGTTCTTAGTGTGATCTAAAGGAGTTTTTGAATCAGTTGTTTTGAATTCATCTAAATATGAGATTATATTGCACAACTGACACTCCATTAAAGGTAGTGACTTACTTATGAGTTCTTTACAGTAATCTGGTGAACTCAGATGTGAAATTGCTAATTAAAGTTAAAAGTATCAAACTGTGATGTAAAAGGGATAATTGTTGTAGTATTTAACTGGTTTTAAAACTGATTATTAATTTATGATAACCTTAATTAGTTTCTACGTATAGATTTATAAGATGGTGAGGATCAGATGCATAACCTTTTAATATTTCGAGTTACTGCTATCACTAACTTAATATATATACTAATGTGGTTGTCAGCTGTTTAAGGTGAGGAGGCTTCCCAAGGGACGTTTTACCTTTTCTTAGATGGAGAGACCATGTTTGACATGTGTGGAAACCTGTGAAAGAGAGGAGTGGATGCTAGTAGTTGAGTGGTGCATGGGTCACTGTGACATTTCACAGTTTAATAGAGATAAGGAGAATAATTTGTTTTGTCAAAGAGTGTTCTAAAGTAATTGAACCCGTCTGTATGAACTTTGACGAAAAGGAGACAATACATTTATTTAAAGTTCAGAATACAACTGTGGTAACCCACAGGGTAGTGTAAGTGAATTATTAACTTGAACTTTTTTTTCTCTACTCTTGTCATAATAATACATCTTGTCAATTGGATTCTAAAGTAATTGAGTCAGCCTAAACGTAATTTTGACAAGAAAAAGTGAACTATTTAGAGTTTTAGATACAACTGTGATATCCATAGTGTAAGGAATTTTTGTACATACGTTTAACTTGTTTTGAATATAGTATTTTAAAACAAGTGGATTGTGTGCTGTCCGTTTACTGTTCGAATTTATCGCCAACAAGTCAGAGACCTACTGTAGAAGAATCGCCAGCTCACATATACCATATAACCCTGACAGTAACCTAGGTTATTAAGTTGTAATATTACAAAATTATATAATTAAGTTGTTCCAAATGCTGATTTCTTATCATTGGTAACCTAAAAACATTATGTTGTGATAATAAGTATTACAACATTATATAGAAAAAGTGCTTGTTACTTATCATCAGTAAACTAATAACATTAAGCTGTAATGAATGTTATGAATTTATACCAAAAAGTTGTTATGGGTGCTTGTTACTTATCATTAGTAACTTCCATCACAGCTTAATGTTTTTAGGTTATTATGAATTTATACAGGTAAGAAATTGTCCTCCGAAACTTATTACTCATAATTAGTAAATTAAGAACATTAAATTGTGACCATAGGGACTCTTACTTTATAAATAAGAAGTTGTTCTGGGAATTTTATTACTTGCCATTAGTAACATAAATACATTTATCTGTTGCTAAAGGTATTATATCATTATACACATTAAGATATGTCCATTGTGGTTATTTCTGATAGTCAGTAACCCAGGAATTGTGGTACAGGATTGCACTATATGTTTGTTCTTTCCCATTTGTTAATATGTAATTTGTTTTGAAGTGTTTTCTTCAAATTTGGTTTTAAAATAGAAAGTTAATTCAATAAAGATTGTAATTTATTCTTAGTATAGTTATGCATGGAACCAAGATCATTCTGATTGGTCATTAAACATGTTTTCTTGTAGAAAATGCTAAGAACTTATGGGTGAAATACAATGCTTTGCAAAAGTATTCACATTTTGTTTGCCATCTGAGCTTGCAATCATGAGACTTTCAAATGGAACTTTATATTTAGAATCTACACAATGTACTCCAAACTGAGAAAGCTAAAAAAACGCTGATATTCTGTAAGTAAATTAGAATATTCTCAATTGCATAAGTATTCAACCCCTTTGCTACAGCAACCCTAAATCAGTTCAGGTACAAAAGATTAGTTTGAAAGGTCACAAAATTAGTCTAATGGTCTGCGTGTGTGTGATCAAAGTGGTTTAACTTGACTTCAGAGTAAATGTGCATCTGTTGAAGCCACAACACACATAGTGATACAACAAACTAATCATGAAGACCAAGAAGCTTTCGAAAAATGTAAGAGATAAAGTTTTAGAGAAACACAGATCAGGAGAAGGATACAAGAAAAGTTGCTGGTTATCCCTTTGAGCACAGTGAAGTGGAATGTGTTTCTTACCACTCCGTCACTACCCAGATCATACTGTCCTTCCAAACTAAGCAGCCAGGCAAGCAGGAAACTGGTTAGGGATGCCACTGTGAATCCGACAGTGATTTTGAGAGATTTGCAAAGTTCTATGTCTGAGGTGGGAGTCGGTGTTCGACAATATTCTGGTCCCTACACAAAGCTAGTCTGATGCAAAGTACAGGTGAATCCTAGAAGAAAATCCGGTAGAGTCAGCCAAAAATCTAAAACTGGGTCGAAAATTCACATTTCAGTTGGACAATGACCCGAAGAACAAGGCCAAAGCCACACTGGAGTGGTTTCAAAAGAAAAAAGTGAATGTTCTGGAGTGACCCAGTCAAAGTCCTGACTTGGATCCAATGGAAAATTTATGGTGAGACTTGAAGATTGCAGTCCATCAACGATCCCCAACGAACTTGTCAGGATTGGAGCAATTTTGCAAGGAAGAATGGGCAAAAATTACACCATCCCATTGTACAAAACTGGTAGAGACCTATCGAAAAAAGACTCACAGCAGTAATTGCTGACAAAGGTACTTCCACCAAGTACTAACCTAGGTGGCTGAATACTTATGCAATCAGAAAATTTCAATTTATATATATTTTTTTAAAGTTTTGCTGACATTCAACCTCCTTCATTCAACAAAAGTACTCCCTGTTGTTAAAGATTACATGTTCATGTTCAAACAGATTTGAAGGTATCCCGGGTTAATTTTGTTTTAAAATGGATTCTGTTGTGAAGTATTATATATGTAGAAAAACACTACAGGCATCTTAAAGTTTCTTTACCCGGGTTTATCGTCCAACTGAGGCTCATGTTGAAACCAAGGTTTCTTTACCCTGGTTTATCGTCCAACTCAGGCTCATAAAGAAACCAAATTTTCTTTACACTGGTTTATAGTCCAACTCGGGCTTATAATGAAACCAATATACGGAAATTTGAAGACACAGAGCACTTTTATTTTTGATACTGTTTTGGTTTTACTATAGACAAAACCCCATCTGAAGTATTTCACGTTTTATAATATTAAAGCTCATCTCATTGCATTGAACTTTTCTATAACAAATAGACAGCTGCAGAACTTGTTTCAACCTTAAGGCTTACACTTTGGTCATAATTAGAAGACAAATTACGTAAAATCTCAAGCCATTATTTTATAACGGACCGGTGTCTGTTTCAAAGTTGTCATATAAGCGAATTTTTTATGACTTAATAGATAACTCAATAATTCTAAGATCACAATCAATTTATTTTTAAAACAGGATGAATATTTCCATATTATGTACTGGCACATATTAATCCTACAGGCGTGAGATTGAGTTACTAATAGTTTATCCGTCAGTTAAAAGTTCAAACAGAAGTACTTAGAATAAAGAATGATTAAAGTTTTTTGCTTGAACTTTTGTATATCTCGTCTTTTAAACCAAAATTAGAAACACTAACAATGATTTGAAAAATGTTTTCTAAATTGTGTTGCATCAGTTCATAAAAGACGTATTGACGTCAAAGTCTAGTCGTTCAGGACAACTGTTGCCCAAGGATGGTTTGAGATTAGAACGTAGGAAAAATTGTTTATTAATAAATCTTTTCTTTACTTCTCGCAATGAAGTAAATCGACAAGTTGCAAATGTTTACATATCATGATCTAAGTTTTCTTTACATCAAAATGATCTAATTCAAAGACTTGCTATTCAAAGTCTATTATGTAACTCAATTATCATTCCTTAGCTAACTGTTTCCATTGCGACCCATTTGACTGTCTTTTACCATCGTCGTATTCTCTTCCTCCTCTTCATCAATATCAGCTAACTCGGGCTGAACGGACAGGGCACCGGTATCCGGACTTGTTGTGATAACATGGAACTTTCTGTCTGTGGGAGTGGAGGATGTTTGAGTTCCTTTATCTTCATTCTCCTCTGGACGCAATCAAAATATCATTTATTAGACTAACTTCGTTCAAAGCATACCTTTTGATGTATAATTGACATATCATTCATTATTAAACAGTTAAAAAAACATAATACGTCAAAACTGACTTCACCAAATCAAGTTTACAACACTCTGTGTGACGTTTGGAGTGTAGAAATGTTGTTGTTATAAGTTGTTATTGTAAGTATTAAACATGTATTAGGTGAATTTGTTTGAAGCTTAAATGTTATAATTTAAGATATAGATTGAAATACCAATAAACTGACAAATTTATGAATTTAGGAAAGTATCACCCTAGAGTTAAATTACAGCTCATCATTGTAGGCAAACCTATTTCAATAAATATCGAGAAATTTAGTTAATAGAATTTTTACTGTAGAAACCGGAGAAAAAATAGTCTTCAACAAATTCGTAATAAAGTTGTTAATATGTAACAATTAAATGAGATTAATGAAGATAGGGATTTATTTCTTCCACGAGCTTGGACTTGTACTAAAGTTCTAGCAGGCCCTTCTCAGAAAGACACGTCATGTATTAATAATGAAAGATAAAGAAACCTTCCTGTTTACCTGAATAAAGATATTGATTATTTCACACTAAAGCTATCTGCTCTAGTCATCCCTAACTTATCAGTGATAGACTAGAAGGTAGGTAGCTAGTTATCACAACCCACTGCCAACTCTTGGGCTACTCTTTTACCAACGAATAGTGGGCTGACCGTCACATTATAACGCCCCCACGACTGGAAAAACGAGAATGTTTGGTGGGACGGGGATTCGAACTCTGAGACTGCGAGTCCAGCACCTTAACTACTTGGCCATGGAATAGAGATGTACTCACTTTTTGTCTTAAAAACGGTCTGTTGCATAAATCTACGCTTATTCGCCACTGAATGACTATCAAGTTTAAAAAATGATGTTCAGTATTAAAAACAACACATAATTATACAAAATGTCAGATTGAGAAATACGTTTTTAATGTATTTTAAAGTACCAACGAAGACTGAATAAACTGGGCAGAATGGTTTGACTAATTCTTAAAACAAATGTAGTATATATTTTGTTTTGTTGGTCAGTTACCATTATACCAATATTTCAAGTTGTTTGGTAGCTGAAGAATTTTCAATAACGTTTGATGCTTCAACTGATATTCAGGACATTTATTATAGCTTTACAAATATTCAGTATCACAGATATAAACAAAGAAAAATACCTGGACGCTTGGAAGCTTTAAGTTCGGCTTCAATCTTTCGCTTCTTTTCTTCTTCTTTTTCGTGAAATCTGCTTAGGAAGCAATAATATAGCATACCATACAGAAGGCCTACTATACCAGCTCCGATTCCAATATAGCGGAAAGCAAGTCTTGCGCCAATTGCACTCATTATGTGTCCTCCAACAAGACTTCCTGCCCCTTTGCCTACAACAATAGAAATCAAAACTGATGTTTGTTGAATATGTATTATTAGTCTCATCTTTATTTTCCCCAAAAAAACTACCACATAAATCACAACAGAGTGACTAATAAATTAGTCTCATCTTTATTTTCCCCCCAAAACTACAACATAAATCACAACAGAGTGACTAATAAATTAGTCTCATCTTTATTTTCCCCCAAAAAACTACCACATAAATCACAACAGAATGACTAATGAATTAGTCTCATCTTTATTTCCCCCAAAACTACCACATAAATCACAACAGAGTGACTAATAAATTAGTCTCATCTTTATTTTCCCAAAAAAACTACCACATAAATCACAACAGAGTGACTAATAAATTTACGTACCAAATATTTATCCATGGACAATATTCTAAAGACTCCCCTCCCCCTTCATAGATAAAATTCGGGAATAAGGATTTTAATGTAAAAGTTATGGACGCCAAATGTTCCGCGTCCACTCTACTTATTAGGTCGTCAAGAAATTAATGTCACGTTTTTTAAAACTTTCATTAACTCCCCCCCAAAAAAAAAAAACAAACTTACATCACATATAATAGTTAAACGAACCGCCTAACCGTTACGTTAGTGTAGCCTATATAATGTGTAAAGTTTAGTGTATTCTAATCCCTTATAGTGATGGCACAAGACCAGACACACATTCGGCATGTAATGCTGTTTCAATAAAAGAAGGGAAACACGACCTCTGTAGCCAC